ATTTCCTGGTTTCTCTCTCCCATATTCCTTTTTCACAAAGGAGCAGATTTGTAAGTGGTTTTTTTTAATTGTATTCTCTTTTATATGGTGATAGCACACCATATAAATTCTTGCACCTTTACTTTTTTCACTGAATGATTTAAAAGTTCCTAGTATTATTAAAAGTATCTTTTTCAAAAAGTATATTTCCAGGGTATATTCCTGGAAATGGAATTTCTTTTTTTTAATTTTTTAATGTTTATTTATTTTGAGAGAGTGAGAGACGGAGCACAACCAGAGGGAGGGCAGAGAGAGAGGGAGACACAGAATCTGCAGCAGGCTCCAGGCTCTGAGCTGTCAGCACAGAGCCTGACACAGGGCTCAAAATCACAAACCGCGAGATTATGACCTGAGCCGAAGGCAGATGCTTGAACCACTGAGCCACCCAGGCACCCCTGGAAATGGAATTTCTTAGTCAAAATTTAATATATATGTGCTCATGGTTTTCACTTTCTCTGTCTATGGAAATGCCTTTTAGGGGGTTAATGTATTTTCTTGATAATGATATAAGTAACTTATATTTTTTTAACTTGTGTAATTTTTTTTAGAATTTAACTATTTTTGTTAGTTGTACTTAGCACATAAAAACGTATAGTCAAACTGCATTGAGATTAGGAATTAGTCTTGCATAATTTATCTCTTTTCAAGGCTCAATAAATATCATTGTAATGTGTCAACAGCCCCTAGTGAAGGTAGTAATCACACATTACATTTGCAGCCCTATCATCCCAGGTGCAATCTACAAGTTCATGATCACCAATAGAGAGTAGGCAGTTCAGGAGCTCTAGCAGTGACATAATGACTAAATACTTATATAATGCTCACATTTTCCCGGAGCATTTTATTTTTCAAAACTCTTTAAAGTCTTTTCATTTTATATCAACTGCACCACTGTAGAATGCTTTGGGAAAATATCACATAAATCATGCCATTTATGTAGTGCCGAGCCCCTTACATGTATTATGTCATTTGCACCTCAGACCAACCCCGTGAAGTAAGCAGGACATATAGTCAACATCCCCATTGTCCAAGTGAGGAAGCTGAGACTCAGAAAAGTGAAATATCCTGAGGTCAGACATCTACTAAGTAGTGAGCCTGGAAATGAACTTGAGACTGTACCACACTACAAGTGTCATGGGTAGCTTGTGAAGAACAATGAAAAAATATTCAAAGGTAGGATATAGTCACAAAGATGTAAATTGTTCTATATATTCTGGAATTTACAGATTCTGGTGGACCGTGTTTTATGGTCACCGTGTTTTACTTGGCTCCCTGCAAGCTGTAATGGTTAAGTCCTGAATGGTGGTAAAGGGGAAAATACATTCTGTACATATGCAGGCTCCTCAACCACCCGTGTGCTGCTATGGTAGAACCAACACTGGCCTTGGAGCCAAACTATCTCGGTGTGCACCTTGGTTTTGCCACTTAGTAGGGGTGGGGCCTGGCTAAAGTATTTAACTTCAGTTTTCTACCATAAAATGAGTATTGTTTTTGCAGGGCTATTGGACAGATTAAAAGTAACTTCATCAGGAAGACTCTCCCTAGTGCCCACCCCCTGCCCCCCCTCCCCCGCAAGTGTTATTCCTAAAGTAATCAGTCAGTTTCCTTCAGAACATTTGTTACAATTTAGATTTATATATAGTGGTGTGTTTATTTGCTTCACACCTGTCTCTCCTACTAGAATGTAAGTTAAAGGACATCAAGGACTCTGCTTGTTTTTGCTACTCTGTGTCTCTTATACCTACTCCAGTGTCATTAATCATTGAATAAATATTTCTGAAATAAATCCTGCCACCTCTTGGCCTTGTTTTTATTTCAGCTGCACAGAATGGCCTACAGCTGCCCTACCCTTTCACATCTCTCTATGCTTACATATGCTGTTTCCTTAGCCCAGCATACTTGCCCAAGCTCCTTTGTTCTCCTAGAGAATCCTTACTCATCCCTCAAGACCTAGCTCAGCTCTTCCATGAGAGCTCCTATGATTTCTCTTCTCCCTTGAAGAGTGAGGGGCTCCGGTGCCCCCTTGGCATGCTTCTGTAGTAGACCCAAACCATATTCCAGTCATTGGTGCGTTCCACTAATACTTTTAAGAACTACCTCCGTACCAGGCACAGGCTAGGGGCTGGGCATACAGCAGTGAATAGGAGCTGTCATACTTATGGGAGAGATGGGCTACAACAAAGTGAATAACCAAACAAATTAATAATAGCGTTTCCAGTAGTGGCAAATGATAGAGTGATCCATTTTGAGAAGCTGACCTTTGACTTGAGATCTGAGAAGCGAGAATGAGATAGGAATGGGAAGAGAGGGGGGATGAGCATTGTATTGTCACTATTTACTTGGGTGTTCCTCATTTCCACCCCACTCAGCTGGCCTCTGAGCTCTGAATCTTTCTGTCCCCAGCACCTAGCACAGGCCCCTCATGTCACACCCACGGTTCCACTTCCACACGCCAGTGGTGCAGCATGTTAGAACTGCCTGGTGACTGGCCCCATGGTTCTGACTTAGTAGATCTCATGTGCAGCCGGGACTGAGAGCCTAATTCTCAGCCTATTATCCCTCACTTAGTGTCTTGTGACAGGGAAGGTCATTCAGTCTTTCTTTGACTCAGTTTTCTGATCTTTAAAATGGAAATAATAATAAAACTTCATAGGGTTTCTGAGAGGATTTAATGAAATAATTGCCTAAAATTCCTAGCCCAGTGCCTAGCCCATGGATAGTCAATAGACATTAGACAAAATGCTCTAGAGCAAGTACTCAGGAGGTGTTTGCTGAATAAATGAACAAGTTAAGGAATAATAAAGTTCAGTTCTTACTTTACGGTATAGAGCTGTGTCAAACAAACATAGAATGCCCTGATTTATCTTCAGTTGTCTTGTTTACTGCTTATTTTAATTTGGACAAGAAAGGAAAAAAAGGGAAATAATAAACACCAGTGTTCTTAGCAGTTAGAATCAAAAGCTATTGACTCTTCATTTGCTTATAAAGCAGCTTCTAAAAAACTTCTCAGATCATTATTTTTATGTTTTTCTGTCCGGGGCAGGGCTTTCATGTTCTAGCCTCAAACCTAAATAAAAGTCCACAATCTACCAACCTGGGGCCTTCTGCAACTTGTGATTTGTCATCTTCTGAAATTACAGTTTGAGATTGAAAGAAATTTTATGTATATTCTACTTCAGTCATCATAGGAGATCCTTAGGATAGCATAACTAGTGAAATTATGATGGTGCCAGAGATCATGGCTTTCTTAGGGCAGGGACACCGATGGGATTAGCCTACGCACAAAATATCATTCAGACCACTTGGCAAACCTTTGGCAAAACCCCCTCTACCCTGCTCCACTTCCTTGAAAACTACATGTCAAACTAGCGGGGCGCCTGGGTGGCTCAGTCGGTTAAGCATCTGACTTGATTTCGGCTCAGGTCATGATCTCATGGTTTGTGAGTTCAAGCCCTGTGTCAAGCTCTGAGCTGACAGTGTGGAGCCTGGGTGGAATTCTCTCTCTCCCACTCTCTCTTTTCCACCTCTGCTTGTGCTGTCTCTTTCTAAGTAAATTAAAAAAAAATAACAAATGTCGAAGTAGGTGGGCAAAGGTGAAAGCATGAACAAATTCATGGCATGAGGAATTTCTAGGAAAAAAAAAATTTGTGTCCTTCATCGCATTTTCACTGGAATACACTGAGATGATGGGTGTTTTTGTAAACCTTAAATATCAGGCTACTTAGGAGTGCTTTGATACTTGAATCATAGGCATGAATTTTCTAGTAAAAAAAAATATTACTGAGGTAATTGGCAAAGAGATTTTGCCAAGTTCTTTTCTGTGAGCTGTAAGAGTTAACATTTATTTATGTGAGTAATTCACTCTGCTCTTATCAATCTAGTCAATTGGAAAATATCATCCGCCTTTAATGTCACAGAAATCAACTCATCCTATCTTAGAATGAGGAAATAATTAGCAAACAATTTCTCTGTCCTTTTTAAAATGTGTGGCATTGTTTTCAGGGTTTTCTTTTACAAACCAATGCACCATGAACTTATTCGGGCTGGAGGTATTGAAATCTGTTTTTCTGCTCCACAAATGTAGAGGTGTGCATGTCTATCAAGTCAGAAGTCCGTAGCAAAGAGCCACTTCACTGATTGGTCGCTCTGACAGGGTGCTGGGTAATGGAGCAGTGATAAGTGGTGCACATCGTAGATTATGGGATAAGCATCTGCCCTTTAGTAGTGGTCCAATGCTAAACAGTCAAGAAGACTAGAGATACTGATAGTTTTCAGATGACAGGCTTCATTTTATATGTTAATAGAAGGAAGACTTCTGATAATGGTGAGGAAATTCAGCATAACAAATGCATTCCCTTTACCGCACTGTAGCATGGCACCAATTAAGTTCAACTGTATGTATAATGTACTCTTAATTCCTAACAGTCCCAAGAAGGACTAATGTGAAAAATATTATATAGTCTTACATTTTACAGATCGTGAACAGCTGGAAAAAATTATGCCAATCGGTAAAGAAATTTATATGTGGTATAATACACCTCAAAATGGTGCTTACATGGATTTTTCTTTTAAAAAATTTATTAAAGTTATCTTGGGTAAAGTTTAGTTTCTACTCAGCATTTTCTGTAACATTATATATATAATTCATTTTAATTTATTCCTTCTGCAGATATGAATGTTTGAAAGTACAGGTAACCTTGTAATGAGTAAAACTGATAAGAAGCTGTGTTCCAATGAAAGGGGAATTATGGAATGATTATTCACTTTGTGAAAGGGTTTGTCATAGAGCAAGCTTTCCTAAAGCATTTCAAATTTAATTTCGTTTACAAAACATTCATTTACACACAACATTTCAGGAACAAATTTACTGAGGAAATGAGAGAAATAGTCATAATAAGATAGAGATCCCATACACTGCTAACATTTATGCTTGCTTTCTCTCTTTCTGTCCCTCTCTGCAGCACTGATAGCCATTGGCCGGTACAGCATGACAATAGAGACTGTGGATGTTGGATGGTGTAAAGAAATTACAGATCAAGGAGCCACCCTGATTGCACAGAGCAGCAAATCTCTAAGATATTTGGGACTGATGAGATGTGATAAAGTAAGAGTTACCTATCAAGTTGGTAGTTAATAGCTTTCTATCATATTCTCTCTCTCTCTCCCCCTATATGTATGTATGTGTACGTGCACATACATGTACTGTTACAGTTATGCATTGCAAGATGCCTGGTTTTCTAAACTAATCTGAGGTTATTTTTGCATTTTTCTATTTAAAAATGAATTTTGTGCTTATGCAGAAAGGAAAAGCAATCATACGCACAAATTATATTTGGCCTCCTGTCCCTAAGTCCACGGACCAAAATTAAAAGTGTTTGCACATCACACAGCAATGTGCAGGGTCTAACGGTAAAATTCTTTTCTGGATTCCAAGTTTCCTGCAACAGTAAGGTGGAAAGAACAGTGCCAAACTGGTTTTTCACAATTTGAAGTGTGTGGTTTCAGTGCTCAACATGTATGTATTGTGGCCATCTGGGGGCAAGAAAGGGCCAGTGAGGGAATATTATGTGGGAATTTGTGCCTTTCTGCACTTAAGATGTCACTTTTAGTACATGATGAGAAATGGTCCCAGAGGTCCCACTGAAGGTGTGTGGTGCTGGCCAGAGATGTGAGTGTGAGTTTGGGAAATTGTGCCACGTTTAATATGGGGCCCTTGAAGACTACGAAGGAAAATGATAAAAATCTGTATTGATCACCAAGTACTACCGAGATGCTTCCATGTTTCCCCTGTAAGTCTAAGAAGTGGTTATTTGTGCTATGAACAGGAGAAAATGGAGACTTAGTGAGACCAGACCCTGGCCTGAGGCCTGTCATCCAAGATTTTACCACAGGTCTCCAGGGTCTGGGCCCAGTGCCCGTGGCACACCCTGGGTGCCGTCTCCAGGCACGGGGTCTGCCCCCTGGGAACAGATCCACCTCAGACACTTTCTCAGAAAGTGCTAGCATCTTATAATAATTTACACATGTGTGCTACTTTTGCAACTGGTGATTAGGGACAGATCTAGCAAAAGAGAGTGAAACTAAATATATATGTCTCTCAAAGGACATGCATTTTCTAAATGTACCAAATTTGGGGGCCAATAGAAGAATGGCCCAAATCCTTTGTGTGCTTTTGTCATTTTTGTTAATTGACCTAGTTCTTTTCTCCAAATGCTTTAAATGCTTTAAAATCCCAGCTTATACTAGGCCTTTGCCAGTTAGTTATGTTTAGAGAGATTTTACTATATATTCTCAGCCCAGCCTAAAAAGCTGGCTGACTTTGTTACTAAGCAACAGCACTTAGACCCAGGGGTTGCAAGTCTCCCTCAGATTTCACCACTAACTAACCTAATGCTGCTACTAACCCTTTCACTTTAAAATGACTCCTCTGAGGAGTCTGAGGAGTCTGAGGAGTCTGGCTCAGTCAGTGGAGCATGTGACTCTTGATCTCACAAGAGTTGTGAGTTCGAGACCCATGTTGGGTGTAGAGATTACTTAAAAAATAAAATTTTTTTTTTTTAAAGACTTCTTTTAAAACAAGTTAAAGAATCTACAGTAGGTGGAGTATTCTAGAAACGCTAAACAATGACAGCAGCTTTGCTCAATGTCTGCCAGAAGAAACTGCTACTACCTGGGTACTACCTGAACCAAGGACGCCAAAATGTATGCGTTCAAAACGGATCTGTATATCCACAAGCACTCTTAGAAATTACCATATTTCTAGTCTGTACTCCTTAGATTTGTTGAGGTCAGCTCCACCTTCAGAGATGAATGGTAAAAGTTTATGTTCCAGTTAGTACAGGAGAAGATTATTTCCGACATATTTGCTGACCAGCATTTTGCTTATTTTAAGTTAAGGAAAGGACCCTTTTCTACCCAGATGCAAATTAGTCCAAAATGGGATGGGGAGGCTGTTCTGATTAGTGGGCTCCCTGAGAGAGCGTTAGTCCTTTCCTCTGGCGGCCTCTGAATCCTGTCTCCAACCACTGAACTGCTCTGAGAGCCTCTGGCTCCAGCACCATGCTGTCTGCCCATAGCCTGCTGTGGTGCGGCCCAGCCCAGAGGATGCTGGGGCCAGCCTTACTGCCTGGCGTCGTTAGGCTTAGGGCAGCTCAGAACCAGACACAAGAGGTTCTGTGAGGACAGAAGAAGTTTCCAAGCCACCCACAAAGTGCAAATAAAGCCTTGCACATAATCGCTTGTTTGTTGATTTAGTTGGATGGAAACCTAGAGTAAGTAGCTACTCAGCTTTCAAAATTTGTGTTATGCAATCTGTCTCCAGATTTTAAATTTTTATCAAGACTCAAAGTAACAATGTGAGTAACAAAGAGGTTAATAGTTGAGGGCATGGGTTCAGAGGCCAGAGTTAGGTTCACATCTGGGCTCTGCTCTTAGTGTTATCTTGGGCAGTTACTCAGTGCCTCTGTTTCCTCATTTGTAAAATGAAGATAATGATAGTACCTGTCTTGTAGAGTTCTGTGAGCATTTAAGTGAATGAACATATACCAAGCCCTTAGAATAATCATGTTTGTTATATATAAAATACTCAGTTCTACTGATTATTCTTATCATCAATGTCATATTAACCTGTGTTTTGATATTTGAAATTTCCAAATGAGAAAAACTTGTACTGCCTGCTATCTGATTTTGAAAGGAAATTAGACAGGAAAAAATAAACTAAGATTAGAAAAGATGCTGCCCTTTTACTTTTTCCTCAGTTAAAATTAAGGTTATTATTTTCTATACTAAGATGTCAAAATTACATTTTTTTTTTTTTACATACTCAACAAAGGAAAACTAATGCCTCCATAGGACAATCTGTATTTAGAATCAACTTACTAACCAGGGTGTAGGGATAAAGAAAGATTTGCAGGGTGAGAAAAGGCTGAATTGAAGAGAAGACAATTCAAATAGGCAGGGAAACAAAAAGAGAGTAATAAGAAAATAGTGGAGAAAAATAAGAATAAAAATAGAAAACACAGAGAAATCATGATCAGCATATGGACATGAAGACCCACGATTTATCTCAAGGTGAGCATCTGTGCCAACCAATAATTGAAGAACAAAACTATTTGGGTCTATCACTCTTCTCTCTGTCCCTTAACCAAATCTGCTAACCGTTAATAAGTCATCAATTTGAGCTCTTCCCCTTTCTGCACACCAACTGGATCCAAAGGAGGAGCAAGAAACCTCAATGGTCTACACCATTAACCCCCTTGTCAGGAATATTGTCACTGGGATCCCTGCGCTGGGGGAAAGATGGGGTTTGTGATGTCTTTGTGTCCCGGGCTTGTGATCTGCGATCCTGTAGTTCTGCGAAATAGTGAAGGCAGTTATATTTTCTTTCACACACAGCCAGTTTCATTTGGGGCCACTTATATTTAATTTGGAAGCTATACTTTACCGAACTTGAGCTTTTTTCCTCACTTGGGCTTTTGAGGAATTGAAAGAATGACGAAATGCATTGCATTTGTTGTAGGAAAAGGTGTTTTCCTCCGTCTCCCTGTTCTTTCTCTCTCTCATTTGGTAAACAAAGAACAGATGAGAAACATTCACCATATTCTTAGCAGATACAAGCAACGTGCGCTTAGACTGTCAGACAACTTGTTTGGCTACAACATTGGTGACTTGTAGGGAGGAGTCCTCCAGCCATTCCACAAATGCAGCATTCCCTGAACACTTGTAAAACTAGGAAGTGCGTTAAGAAGCCCGTGTTTGAGTAGCTGTTCCGATTGCTGGATGGATAAGCATGTTAGAGGCATTACTTTGAGTTTTAAAGCCGACGCCACTTAATCTCCTAAACTTCAGTGCATTGTAAGAACCAAGAGAAGAAAACGCTGTGTGAGACGGCTTTGATGAATTGGGGTGAACTTATATTCTTAAAGACTGTTCAAAGGCTTACTTGACCTTGGGAATTAGAGTTGACCCAAAATCACCTATCAACTTAACACGCATTTATTTGGTGATTTAGTTAAAACTGCTTGTATAATCAACGGGACTCTCTAATAAGAGTGATATGTTTACTCTGCTTTCCACAATTATAGACAGTAGGTGGTTTTGGTCAGAGAATATTTTCACAACCTTAGAATAGAATATTCTGTAGAATTCTAGAGTCCATATAGATCTGTTTCTTCTCATAATAGGATATTTTCCTCATTTCTTACAAGGCCGTTTGGATGGAGAACAAAACTGAAAAGGACAAAAAAAAAATCATGGGAAAGCTGTAGGGCAAATGGAAACGCAATGTTCAAGGTTAATGAAAAATGTTTGGGGTAACAGGGTTGATGAGAAGGGAGGGAGCCCAGTGGCATGGCATTGGCTGAGAAACCAGACCTCGCCAGAGGCAGCCTGGCTGGTTTGGGAAACCTCGGTGATAAAAAGTCGTGGTGGAAACCTCTGCAGTGTGTGTTAATACAGAAGTTCGGAGACAGAGGGCCTGAATTATGAGCAGCGAATAACATCATAAATGTAGCAATTCTCAAATGCCAAACCCTTGTGAAAAGCAGTTGGATGAAGAAATGCTGGAGCTTTTAAAAGCTCCCTTTCACTTTCTTTCTTTCTTTCTTTCTTTTTTTTTAAACTTCATGCAGAACTAATTTTACACACTGTTCATTTGATTTGAAAATGCCAGCGTCTGGGGTATCATTAAAGAGCGTTATTGAGGGAGCCACTCTTGGCAAAGCATTTGGCTTAAAAAGCCTATTTGTTCTTATGTCCCTGGAGAGTTGTAGATAGGAAGGAGAAAGTGTACCTCAATTTACCTAATGCCGCCCCTCTGCCTAGGCCGGGACCAGGTAGCTGCCCTTCTGTTGGGAGGAGGCTCCTTCTCCTTGGCCTCTAGAGGCGCCAGGAGGGTTGTGGGGGCCACATTACTGAAGGAATAGACGCAAATAGATTTTGAAAGGTCCACCCCAATGTCCTATGACCAAAGCCTCTTGGAATTTCTTTGATTTCTAGTTGACATAAATTAGAATTACACAGGCGTGAAGAGTCCGCCCAGAAAAGATCAGAGAGGCTGCTGGGGGAGGAGAAGCCTCTGTGTGATCCTATTGATTATCCAGCTGC